GAGCACTCTATATAGATACTGGAAATTAACCCATTATCTGATGTATCATTGGCAATTATGTTCTCCCATAGAGTGCGTTGCCTTTCCATTTTGGTGGTTGTTTCTTTTGCTGTGCAGAAGCTTTTGAGTTTGATGTAATCCCATGTGTTCATTTTCTCCTTTGTTTTTGTGGCCTTAGGTGATGTATCAGTGAAAATTCTGCTCCGTATGATGTCTGAAATTTTGTTGCCTACATTTTCTTCTAGGATTTTAATGAATTCATGAGTCACATTTAAGTCTTTTATCCATTTTGAGTTTATTCTTGTGTATGGTATAAGTTGGTGGTCTAGTTTCATATTTTTGCATGTAGCTGTCCAATTTTCCCAACACCATTTATTAAAGAGGCTGTCTTTACTCCACTGTACGCTCTTGCCACCTTTGTCAAATATTAATTGAGCATAATGTCTTGGGTCCATTTCTGGATTCTCCGTTCTGTTCCACTGGTCTATATGTCTGTTCTTGTGCCAGTACTGGGCTGTTTTGATTAGTCGCTTTGTAGTCTAACCTGAAATCTGGTAATGTGATCCCACCAACTTTGTTCTTCTTTTTCAAGACTGCTGTGGCTAATTCGGGGTCTTTTTTGGTTCCCTATGAACTTTTGAAGTATTTGTTCTAGTTCTGTGAAGTATGTCGTTGGTATTTTGATGGGGATTGCATTGAATCTATAGATTGCTTTGGGTAGTATGGACATTTTAATGATGTTAATTATTCTAATCCATGAACAAGGTATGTGCTTCCACTTTTTACATCTTCCTCTATTTCTTTTTTCAATGACCTAGAGTTTTCTGCAAATAGGTCCTTTATTTCTATGGTTAAGTTTATTCCTAGGTATCTTAATGTTTTTGCTGCAATGGTAAATGGGATTGTTTTCTTAGTTTCTCTTTCTGTGAGTTCATCATTGGTGTATAAGAATGCTGTCGATTTCTTTTTTTTTTTTTAATCCTCACCCGAGGACATTTTTTTGTTTTTTGTTCAGGTAGAGTGGGAGGGAGAGAGAGGAAGAGAGAGAGAGAGAAACATCGATGTGAAAGGGACACATCGAGTGGCTGCCACCCACACGTCCGACCAGGGCCGGGGACAAACTGCAACCGAGGTACGTGCCCTTAGCGGGAACCGAACCCAGGCCTCTCAGGACCGCAGGCCGACGCTCTAACCGCTGAGCCAAACCGGCCAGGGCCGTCGATTTCTTGATGTTAATTTTGTATCCTGCTACTTTGCCAAATTCATTTATTAAGACTAGTAAAGTTCTGATGGAGTCTTTGGGGTTTCCTACGTATAGTATCATGTCATCTGCAAATAATGACGGTTTCACTTCCTCCTTTCCAATTTGAATCCCTTTTGTTTTTTCTTCCAGTCTGATTTCTGTGCAAAGAGAGAATCTTAAACGCAGCAAGAGAAAAGCAATTTGTTACCCACAACGGAGCTCCCATAAAACTATCAGCTAATTTCTCAAAAGAAACTTTGCAGGCCAGAAGGCAGTGGCAAGAAATATTTAAAGAGATGAAAAGCAAGAACCTACAACCAAATTTACTCTATCCTGCAAAGCTGTCATTTAGAATCGATGGCCATATAAAGACTTTCCCAGACAAGAAAAAGTTAAAGGAGTTCATCACCACCAAACCGTTATTATATGAAATGATGAAGGGTCTTTTTGAAGAAAAAGATAAAATATATAAACAAACAAAATGGCAATGAATACATATCTATCAACAATTGAATCTACAAACAAAATGAACAGGCAGAACAGAAACATTCTCATAGATACAGAGAACATTTTATTGGTTGCCAGATGGGAGGGGGGTTGGGGGAATGGGTGAAAAAGGTGAAGGGATTAAGAAGTACAAATTGGTTGCTAGACTGACAAACCTCAAAGGGAAAGGGGTTGGGGGGTGGGAAGAAATAAACCAAAGATCTTATCTGCATAACCAATGGACACACAATAGTGTGGAAAAAGGCAGGAGGGGGGCGGGAGGGGGGAGGAGGGGGTCAATGGGGGAAAAATAAGGAACATCTGTAATACATTCTACATTCAACAATAAAGATTAAAAATAAAGAAAAATGTCTAGTGAGGTGCTCACTTTGGCAGCACATACACTACAATTAGAACAATACAGAGAAGATTAGCAGGCCCCTGTGCAAAGGATGACATGCAAATTCGTGAAGTGTTCCATATTTATTTATTTATTTATTTTTATTTTTTTATTTTTTTATCCTCACTTGAGGATATTTTTCCATTTTTTGTACAGATAGAGTGGGAGGGAGAGAGAGGAAGGGAGAGAGAGAGAAACATCGACGTGAAGGGACATATCGAGTGGCTGCCACCCGCACGACCAACCAGGGCTGGGGACAAACTGCAACCGAAGTACGTGCCCTTAGCGGGAACCGAACCCGGGTCTCTCCGGACCGCAGGCCGACGCTCTAACCACTGAGCCAAACTGGCCAGGGCGTGAAGTGTTCCATATTTAAAAAAAAAAAAAAAGTCTAGTGGGCATAAAAGACTGTGGGTACAATTTTTCCAGTAATTTATTTTCTTTCTCAGAAAGATCTTCCATCCGTTTTTGGCTAAAGTATTTCAAAAAACATATTTCACTAGTCTCGGTTCCCCTTGCACACTCTGAGAATAATTTGGTTCTTCCGTGTGTTTTCTAAAGGTCAATGCTTGCTGTCCTGGATTTTATCCCTAAACTGTCCCATAGGTGATTCTGATTCTTGTCACATCAGTCCTAAAATTATTCATTCACTCCTTGACAAGTATTTACTGACAGCCTACTACATGTCACACACAGTTCAATGCAAGGCATCTGATTATAAAATACCTTTAATTAAGAGATCTCAACCTGACAAATCAATCACATTTACACAGAGCTATTTATCTTCCCAGTGCAACCCTATCACAAATCTTTCCTGGACTGCTGTTATTTTAACAACCTCTCAATCAAGAAAACTTAAATCTTTTTTGACTCTATTATTTTCTATTAAGTGGTGGGTCTCACAGAATCACAGGCTAGAAGGTCTTTAAGAAATCACCTACGGCAAATTCAGAAATGTTGAAGTCACACTGGCACAGTCTATTTCTAGTTAATGGCAGATTGAAGACTGAACTCAGCTTCCTGCCTCCCACCAGTGTGCCACAAACAGAACGTGATGCAGTCTGTGGTGCTCTCTGCAGCGAAACTCCAGGCAAGAAGACATAACTTCCTGACGCTGATGAATACACATTACATGATCTTAGAACACATGACTAATCTACCTTTCCCCAAGTCATGGGCAAGATTTCTACATGCAGGGCCGTGGCGGTCTGTGGTGAAGTCATTACAGTGAACCATGTACTGCTCACAGACTGGACAGTAACATACTTTGTGTCTCAAAGTACATTTACATCTACACTGAGGCTACCTTCTACCTCTTTTGTTTCCTTAGTGTCTGAGCAGGATATATATTTTGTAAACACTGTTTGACATACTGCTCTTATACATATATTACACAATACCTAAACTGACTTTAAAATACATTAAAGCCACCACAGAAATCAGAGGACACTTGTCTCATTTCCTTATATTAAAACAAACAAAATATTTTGGATGAAAAATGCACAAATACCATTAAAATGTAGCCAAGTTAGCCAAAGGTAATCACAAACATCAAATAATGATAATGAAGCCTCTTTAAGTCACAAATCGAAAATAAAATAGAACATGGGAACATTTACTATTAACACAGAAACAATTAAAAACTGACCTTATCTTGGCCTGCAGCTCTGTTCCCAAAGGCTTATAAAAAATAGTAAGCATCAACTCACATTTTTGTCACTGGCTCCTATGAGCTTTCAAAAGTAATTTTCAAAAACGTTTCCACAGCATTACATCTGTGGTAGGGTTGTTCACAAATACAGTGGCCCTTGACCGTGCACGTGGGTTTGAACTGTGCAGGTCCACATACAGGAATTGTTTTAATAAACACCTGCACTGTTTTAGATCCGCAGCTGGGACTGCAGATGTGGAGGGCCGACAGCATGCACCCTGCTGCGTGCACCATGTTCTCTGGGGTACTTAAGCGTCTGAAGATTATGGTATCCCAGGGGGTACTGGAACCAATCCCCTGCAGATACTGAGGGACAACTGTTTGGGGGGGGGTCAAGTTATACATGCATTTTCGACTGCACAGGGTTAGCACCCCTAACACTCAAGTTGTTCCAGGGTCAACTGTACTTAACTTTCTCCTTCTCAGAGGACAGAAACACTGAAGGCCCATGCTGTTCAACTAGATACAACCATCAGACTTCCTCTGGCCAGTACATGTGAGTGACTGTAGTGAGCATTTCCTCCAGGTAAAAGCTCTGAGGGCCACAATGTGCTATGACACACTCTCCTCCCCCTGCCCTGGTATGATACTGTGATGTACAAGAGAGAGAGATTTGGTCTTCATCCCCATTTCTGCACAGAACTCCTAAAACCTCAAAATTTCCTAAGCAGTAAGAACAATATAGGAATCTCCTAATACTCAAAATAAATCCCTTTAGACCACACCTGAGTTTATATTAACGAGATGACTATTGACAAGCACTGGAGACAGAGGCTGGTAGCCGGGGCACCAACCAGGTGATTAGATGACTAGAACCCCATCCCTGTCCTCTGGGAAGGAGAGAGACTGGAAATTAAGTTTAAGTACCAAAGGCCTAGGTAATGAGGCCTCAATTTCAATGGTTTTTTTTTTTCTTTTTTTAAAGAGAGGAAGGGAGAGAGAATCATCAATCTGAGAGAGAAACAAGGATCAGTTGCCTTCCCATGTGTGCCCTGATCATGGATCGAACCCGCAACCTTTTGGTGTACGAGACGATGCTCCAACCAACTGAGCCATACTGGCCAGGTGGGGTTTTTAACCCAAAGGAATGGGTGTGGAGAGCTCCTGGGTTGGAGAGGGCACACTCAGAGAGAGCGTGGGCACTCACACCCACGTCTTACCCTAGTGTCTTTTCCTCTGGCTTCTCCTCAGTTACATCCTTTCACAATAAACTGGGATCTAGTAAGTAAAGTGCTTCCTGAATTCTGTGAGCCATTCCAGGACATGAATCAAACCTGAGAAAAGGGTGACGGGAACCTCAATTACCCGACCTCACAACTAGGTCTAAAAACAAAGACTCGTCAGCAGTGTGATCAGACGCTGCCTCCAGGCAGCTAGTGAAAAAAAATGAGTTGGACTGCATCACACCAGCCAGTGTCGCAGAATGTCTCGTGTATGGAAAACCACACACACACAGTTGGTGACCCAGGGTGTGAGAAGTATGGAGTGCAATAAAAAAACTTTTTTCTTTAGCTCTCAACCAGTAATGTTCCAAACAGTGGCTGCTTCAAGGTGAGGTCCCAAAGTGGAACCCAAAGTAAAAATGACAATATTAGTGAAAACCCCCAAGCTGATCCTCAATGAACACACAGAATGAAAAAACAAACAATAATAAACCATTGTTGTTATAAGCCACCGAGACTTGGGGAGTATGGTTCAAAGCTGGTTCAGAATGATAGAGTCTGAAACTTACTTTAAAATCACACTGAAAATTCCTAATCCCCATTCTGATCATTTAGAAAAAAGTCAGTTCTCTGATGCAGTACGTTAAACTCCCCATACTACCTCTTCTAGACAAAAGACAAATGAAGACCTTCCCACACGATTTATTTTCAGTGTACTCAGTTTATTCTCACCCCACTGAAAAGTGTATATAATACAAATAAAGAAATTACTCAGGTTTACCCGAGTATTTATCGAAACTCTGACAGCGATTATAATGGATGAGAGATGAAAAATATCTGAATTTAAGTATGTTTTCATATACATATTTTTAATATATATCTTTTTAATGTGTTTTTATTGATTTTTTAGAGAGCGAGAAGGGAGAGAGAGACAGAAACATCAATGTGAGAGATACATCAATTGGCTGCCTCCTGCATGCCCGCCACTGAGGACCGAGCCCACAACCTGGTCATGTACCCTGACCGGAAATCAAACCAGGACCTCTCAGTCCATGGGACGACTCTCAATCCACTGAGCCACACTGGCCGGGCAACTATGTTTTTTAAATCATGGCGGCTCTACCCCCAGAAGATTTCAGTGCCCATATTCCCGTGGAGAATGCTCATGTTACAAGAGCATACAGGGAACCCTTGCTTAACTAGAAGAGCCATACAAAACCCCCAACTTTAAATTATACCCCAAAACTGCAGAACATACATTCTTCCCAAGTGCACATGGGATAGTTTTAAAGACAGACCACATGTTAGTAGTACACAAACTAAGTCTCTACAAGTATAAGACAACTGAAATCATATCAAGTATCTTCTCACATCACAATGGCACAAAACTAGAAATTAATTATAATAAAAACACTCAGCCCTGGTCAGTTTGGCTCAGTGGTTAGAGCATTGGCCTGTGGACAATAGAGACCTGGGTTCGGTTCCCACTAAGTGCACATACCTTGGTTGCAGTTTGTCCCTGGCCCCAGTTAGGGTCGGGTGGGTGGCAACCAGTCGATGCGTCTTTCTCACATCAATGTTTCTCTCTCTCTCTTCCTCCCTCTCCCCCTCCCGTTCTATCTGAAGATAAATGCAAATGTCCCTGCGTGAGAATAAAAAAACAAACAGCCCTGGCCAGTTTGGCTCAACAGTTAGAGCACTGGCCTGCAGTCCAGAGACACCCGGGTTCAGTTCCCACTAACGGCACGTACCTCGGTTGCAGTTTGTCCCTGGCCCTGGTTGGTTGTGCGGGTGGCAGCCACTGGATGTGTCTCTCTCACATCGATGTTTCTCCCCCCACCCCAACTCTATCTGACAAAATATGAAAAAATGTCCTCGGGTGAGGATAAAAACAAACAAACAAACAAACAAAAAACACTCAAACCCTGGCCAGTTTGGCTCAGCAGTTAAGAGTGTTGGCCCATGCCCTGGCCGGTTTGGCTCAGCAGTTAGAGCATCGGCCTGCGGTCCGGAGAGACCCGGATTCGGTTTCCGCTAAGGGCATGTACCTCAGTTGCAGTTTGTCCCCGGCCCTGGTTGGTTAAATGTGTCCCTTTCACATCGATGTTTCTCTCTCTCTCTCTCCCACTCTACCTGAACAAAAAATGGAAAGATGTCCACGGGTGAGGATGATAAGAAAAAAAAAAAAAAAAGAGTGTTAGCCCACAGACCAAAGAGTTGCAGGTTCGATTCTGGTCAAGGGCATGCACATCGGCTGCAGTTCAGTCCCGGCCCTGGTCGGGGTCAAGCAGGACACAACCAGTCTAAGTGTCTCTCTATCTCCCTCCCTCTCACTATCTGAAGATAAATGAAAAAATATCCTCGGGTGAGGATTTAAAAAAAAAAAAAAAAAAAAAAGAATGGCCATTATAAGAAAGTGCTGCAGTCTGGCTGGTTTGGCTCCCTGGGTAAGCATCGATCCATGCACCAAGAAGTTGCCAGTTCGATTCCCAGTCAGGGCACATGCCCAGATTGTGGGCCAAATTCCCAGTGGGAGGCATGCAGGAGGCGGTCAATCGATGTTCTCTCTCATCAATGTTTCTATCTCTCCCTTCCTTTCTCTAAAAAAAAATAAAGAAAGAAAAAATATTTAAAAAAGAAAAGAAAATGTTGCAATACTCACAAATCAACAAATGTGATATATCACAAAAACACAATGAAAGATAAAAATCATATCAACAGATGCTGAAAAAGCATTTGACAAAATCCAGCACCCATTGCTAATAAAAACACTTAGCAAAGTATGAATAGAGGGATCATATCTCAACATAATAAAGGTCATATATGAAAAACCTACAGCCAACATCATATTCAATGGGCGAAAACTAAAAGCACTTGTCTTAAGAACAGGAATGTCTACTTTCACCACCCTTACTCAATATAGTGATGGAAGTCTTAGCCAGAGAGATCAGACAAAAAAGTAAATAAATAAAAGGCATCGAAATTGGAAAGGAGAAATTAAAACTCATTATTTGCAGATGTCACTAATCATCAGAGAGATGCCAATTAAAATGACTATGAGGTATCACCTCACACCTGTCAGAATGGCTGCCATCAACAAATTGTCAAACAACAAAAGCTGGCGAGGATGTGGAGAAAAGGGGACTCTAGCACACTGCTGGTGGGAATGCAGACTGGTGCAGCCACTATGGAAAACAATATGGTTTTCCCAAAAAATTAAAAATTGAACTGCCATTTGACCCAGTGATCCCACTTTCAGGAATATATCCGAAGAAGCCTGAAACACCAATCAGAAAGAATATATGTACCCCCATGTTCATAGCAGCACTATTTGTAATCGCTAAGATCTGGAAACAGCCCAAGTGTCCATCAGTAGATGAGTGGATAAAAAAAGCTGTGGTACATATACACAATGGAACACTAAGTAGCTGTAAGAAAGAAACATCTCTTATCCTTTGAGATGGCATGGAAGGACCTGGAGAGTATTACGCTAAGCAAAATAAGCCAGTTAGAGAAAGACAAGTACCACATGATCTCACTTATTTATGGAACATGACGAACAAAATAAGCTAACAATCAAAATAGATCCAGAGACATGGAAGTAGAGAACAGACTAACAAACCTCAGAGGGAAGGGGGTGGGAAGAGATAAACCAAAAAACTTCTATGCACATATGCATAACCAATCAACACAGATAATAGTGTGGGGAAAGCAGGAGCGGGGTGGGAGCAGGGAGGAGGGGGGTCAACGGGAGAAAAGGGGACATCTGTAATACTTTCAACAATAAAAAAAAGTAAATATATTGTTTTTATAGGCTTTTTGTTGTAGTAAATGATGTATTCACTGCATAAATTATAAAGATGTTATGAAACAAACAAACAAAAATCTCCAACTCTACTATGTGACTTTGAGCAAGACTCTCTTTCTTAAACATACTTTTTCTAATTTTAGAGAGAGGGGAAAGGAGATGAAGAAAGAGAGAAGCATTGATGTGAGAAAGAAATATCAATCGGCTGCCTCCTGCATGCCCCATACTGAGAATCGAGCCTGCAATCCAGCCATGTGCCCCAACTGGGAATCAAACCTTTGATCTTTTGGTACATGCATGGGTCAACACTCAACCAACTGAGCCAAACTGGCCAGGTCTTTTTTTTTTTTTTTTGGCACATGCCCCTAACAGGAACCGAACCCGGGACTCTCTGGTCCACAGGCTGACACTCCAACTGCTGGGCCAAATCGGCCAGGGCAAACTGGCCAGGTCTTGAGCAAGATTCTTAAGACCTGTGAGCCTCAGTTTCTTCACATATGAAATTAGGCTATGATCTACTATAGTTTCTGTGAAGTTAACATATGAAGTTTCTAGCACATAATAGACAAATATTACTTCTTCCTCCCAAGATAGTTTGAAATTTATAGAAAATTGTGTGATATGCTCAATGCAGAAGACATGCAAAAATGGAAAGCTAAAAGAGACACCAACCCAAAGTGCAAAACGAGGATGAGAGGAAAAAGGAAATGGGTGAGATCAAGGATTGCCAACATAATAAAGATTCATTTACAGAATTAAAATACTCATGAGAACAGGTTAGTTGGTCCCTACAGTGGGGGTATACGCTGCCATCCGTACCCCTGGGCCTCCAGTGCACATACACACACACACGCGCACAAACAACAACAACCGGAGGGGCTGAATGAAATGGAGATATTATGACTACGTAGATCTGAATCCTTCATCTAAATACATGTTTAATACACACAATTCACATACTGACACAGAAGGCAAGAAACAATATCCAACCTCCTCAAACCAATTTGTCAAATTAACCAATATCTCCATTCTCTTTATGTAGTCTTCTGATAAACTGCTGAACATTCATCACTAATTAAGCTTTTTAAAAAATCCTCACCTAAGAATACGTTTTCATTGATTTTTAGAGAGAAAGTATGTGTGGGGGGGGCATCGATGTGAGAGAAAAACATCCATCAGTTGCTTCCCATATACACCCCAACCGGGGATTGACTTAGAAATGTGGGTATGTATTCTGACTGGGAATTGAACCCACAATCTTTCAGTGCACAGGATGATGCTCCAACCAACTGAGCCACCTAACCAGAGCTAAGCTTATTTTTTTTAACAAACCAGTACATTTCTGCGCCTATCAACGTACCAAGAATTAGGTATGTTTGTGTACTTACCATAGTAATTACATATTTAATATTATGTAAAACAATAAAATTATGAAAGTGAAAGGGAAGCGGTTTCTATGAAAATAAAGTTGAGTGTTTAAAAAAACTCAAAGGCTAATTACAAAATCAAAATTGTGTCCTAGCCAGTTTTACTCAGTGGTTAGAGCATCGGCCCATGGAACAATGAGTCGCGGGTTTGATTCTGGTCAAGGGCACGTATCTCGATTGCAGTTTGTCCCGGCCCTGGTCAAGGTCATGCAGGAGGCAAACAAATGATGTGTCTCTCTCACATTGATGTCTGTCTCTCCTCCCCCCTCAATTCCTCCTACTCCCCCCCCCCCACTCTATCTGAAAACAAAACAAAACAAAATCAAAATTGTTGTTAAAGTAGGTATAGGGGAATAAACTGTAAAAGTCGAGGGGACAAATCATGCAACTCTAGATGGATCATAAATTTAGACTGCTTTAGATTTGTTTTTGTTTTTTAAAAAACAAAATTAAGGCCCTGGCCAGTTTGGGTCAGCAGTTAGAGCATTGGCCTGC